TCTCAGAGAGCTTACCATGATAAACACCATTTGGCCCATCCTGTGTCTCTTAGAAGCCCAGCAAAAGAAAAAAGCCAGGAGGAAGCAAAATTGATCATTTTTCATATCCATTATCTCATTTTCTTTGGGCACCAGATTTCTGTGGAACCCTTCGAGAGAGCGTATTTGAGGAGGTGATACTCAAAACAATTGGAATTGGTTGTTATCCTAATTCCAAGGAATTTAGAGAGGCTATTTATTGGTCAGCTTCATTGTTAGTTTTGGATTTGATAGCTCTCAAATCAGCTGTTTCCTCCTACCTAAGGAAAGGAGTTATACCAATGATATTTATTTTTCTACAGTTTGTACTAAGTTTTACTACGTACCAATTTAAAAAAAAAACAAGTGTTTGGGGTGCATGGTGGCTCAGTTGGTTGAGCATCCAACTCTTGATTTCGGCTCAGTTCACAATCCTGGGGTCATGGGATTGAGCCCCATGTTGAGCTCTGTGCTGGGCATGGAGCCTGCTTTGGATTCTCTCTCTCTCCGTCTGCCCCTCTTCCCTGTTCACGCTCCCTCTCTCTCTAAAAGGAAAAAAAATGTGCTTGACATCTTACTGCAAGGACTAGGAACAGCAATCTTATAAATAATACTTGTCATGGCACAAAAATACCAGTAAGATAGTCATTTCCTAAAACAATCAGCAATTTGAACCCTTAAAAAAAATCCTAAGATGTAGAAGGAATTTGGCTCTGTAAGTTGTGTAATACTGTTATATTAATTATGATATTTAACTGACTGGCCAATTGGTAGGAACCATCAAATGACACTGGATAAGTTTCCTAACTCTTTGGATTCTTGCTTCCCCCTCCCCCCCCATGATTATGAAAATAGTATCACGTGCCTTGCCTGGCCCTTTCCCGGTCTCTAAAGCAACCATTTCAGCCTCCTCTGCTCTTACGCAGCCTCCCCACTTACCCCCTAGATTTGACCTCACTTCCTACCTCACTGAAATATTAGAAGCATTAAGGCAGGAATGCCTTTTTTTTTTTTTAATCGGCAAACTAATTGAATCTACATCCATCACTTGGTCTTTCTTTTCAGGGCAACCCTTCCACTGGGCGGGAGTGCTAATGCCGAAGCCTCTTTCTTCTGCAGGACCTCACCCTGTGGTTATTCCCTGTATCTCGACTACACTGTCCATCTCTTCTTCCTTTGCAGCTGAGCCCATCAGCATAAAGACTCAATTTAGCATGACTGATCTTTTTTTTTTAATTTTTTTTAATGTTTTATTTATTTCTAGGAGAGAGAGAGAGAGACAGCGTGAGCAGGAGAGGGTCAGAGAGAGAGGGAGTCACAGACTCTGAAACAGGCTCCAGGCTCCGAGCTGGCAGTCAGCACAGAGCCCGACGCGGGGCTCGAACCCACGAACCGCGAGATCATGACCTGAGCTAAAGTCAGACGCTTAACCGACTAAGCCACCCAGGCGCCCCCAGCATGACTGATCTTTACAAGCTCTCCATTTACTGCTCACATATCAGCCACCCTTCTTGAAAAGGGTGCCACTTATTCTCTCCACTTTATTATTTTTAAATTTATTCTTATTTTAGAGAAAGCATGAGAGGGGGAGAGAGAGAGAGAGAGAGAGGGAGAGAGAGAGAATATTAAACAGGCTCCACACTCAGTGTGAAGCCCAATGCAGGGCTTGATCCCACAACCCTGGCATCAAGACCTGAGCTGAAATTAAAAGTTGGACGTTCAATCTACTGAGCCACCCAGGTGCCCCTCTCTCCACTTCTTTAAATCCCACTTATTCTCCAACCATGGCAGTGTGACTTCCATCCTGCTACTCTGTGAAACCTGCTCTTGTCTGGGCCACTGACAGCCACCGTGTATCGAACCCATAGGACTCTTCCCAGTCCTTGTTCAGCACAGTTGGCCACATCTTCCTTCTTGAACAGTCTTCTAACTGTGCAGTAATACCATACTGTCTTGATTCTCTCTCAGAGTCTCTCTCTCTCTCACTGCTCCTGCTCTATCTCCAGTAATACTGGATGCTGCAGAGTCCTGGGCCTTCCAATTATCTCTACCTTCATTGTTGCCCAGATGATCTCATCCAGACCTAATTTTTAAGTGATCCTTTGGCTCCTGACTCCAAATCTCCATCTCTAGCCTTGACTTTCCCTAAATTCCAAGCTCATATGTCCAGTGTCCTACTTGCCACCTTCTCTTGATCTATAGTAGGTATCTCTAAATTAACATATTCAAATCAGAACAACAATTTGCCTAGCTATGGAAGTCACTCGTCTTTAATACCATCCCATTCAGGGGTACCTGGGTGGCTTAGTCAGTTAAGCGTCCACTCTTGATTTGGGATCAGGCTATGATCTCACAGTTTGTGAGTTTGAGCCCCACATCGATGTCAGTGCACATTGGTGTTAGTGCAAAGCCTGCTTGGAATTCTCTCTCTCCCTCAGTCTGCCCCTCCCCTGCTCACTCGCGCACTCTCTCTCTCAAAATAAATAAATATGTTAAATAAACAAATAAACTTTTAAAAGTAACAACAAAGTCTCCTAAGTATATGTTTGCTTCTCAGCTTCGTTCACGCCCCTCCTCAGCTCCCATTCCAGCTCCTTGTAGCTTCAGCTCCTGTGCAGCTCAGCCCTGCCCACTACCACGGCCAGCATCCCCATTCACCTCTATGTGAAGACTGGGTGCTGAGACAGGAATGGCTAGGGTGCTGTGCCATGAATGCCAGCCACTTGGGCGGAGCCTCTGGAACACAGGGCGCCTGGGCTCACAAGGCCCACAGGGCGCCTGGGCTCCTCCTGCTGTTGCTAATCTGCTCTAGCAGACGGGAGCTGTGTGCCGCTGTGGTTTGCCCTCCACTTGCTATGCTGAAAGTGACCATTCCCCAACACACAAGAATACTCCTCAGTTCTGGAAGTTTCCAAGGGTCTTTTCAATTGAGAAACAGAAAAAGTCTTCCGTGAGGGTGGCTGTCTGGATCAGGATACTAATCCCATCAGTAATACCTGAATAGGTCATCTTCTAAATGTGTAAATGACTGCTCCACGGAATAGGGCGTATCCTGGTGGGCCCCACAAGGACTTGATGGCAGAAGTCTAACCAGACTCCTAACAAGGCTACATCAGTTTCATCAGTTCAGGGCAGGTATCACCACTACTGTGTTTACTGGTAAGGGTAGGCTTCCTGTTGTAACGGCCTATTTCCAAATCTCAGTGGCTTAACACCACTTAACATTTTGTGTGTCACAGTCCAGTCAGGTCAGTGGGAGTGGTGAAGGCAGTATCGCTGCTCCACACAGTCCTCTAGGGACCCAGGCTCCTTCCTCCTAATGCAGGGGTTCTTAAGTTAGAGTCTACAGGTGCCGCGAGGGTGGGCACAATTCAGGGGGTCTGTGAACTTGGAATGGGGAAAAGTGTTTCTTTATTGTCATTAACCTCTTGTGCTCGCTTCGGCAGCACATATACTAAAAAAAAAAATATTGTCATTAACCTCTTAACGGTAACTTAGCATTTCCTGCAATTATGATTGATGGCATCAAACCACAGTATTAGTGCCGTCTGTGACTTTACTACCAATAAAAATCATAGATATTTTCATATCACATTATAACTTTAGGAGCTATCATGAAATATCATTTAGGCTTACCACTACTTTGAAATTATGGTTGTTCTAAGACTCACTTCAAGATTTGTTATTTTTTATGTTAAGAGCATATACAGTACCATATCACAAAATATTTTTAATATTTTGGTAACTATATTTCAATAACACTTGCTTTTCTTTGTAATTCTGTGTGTTTTGAGTGTTTTTTTAAAAAAACGCTACTTTGATAAGGGGTCCGTAGGTTTAATGAGATTGACAAAAGGGTTCATAGCAAAGAGGAGAAGTCTAAGAACCCCTGATCGAGTGGTTGTGCCGTCCCTCAGTCCTCAAGTGTCCCCTGCATCTGGTCCGCTGCCTGTGCTGGGAGGCACTGGGAAGTAGTTTAGGGACAAGTCTTAGGAGGAATATACATCACTTCCGCCCACATCCCATTAGTCCTGATCCGGTCACATGACCCCACCTGACTGCAGGGGAGGCTGGGAAATGAGGTCTAGCTGTGTGCCCAGGAGGAAAAGGAAACGGGGCTTGATGAGCACACAGAAGTGACAGTCACCACGGTCATGGGAACAATCAGCAAAGCAGCAGCATCTTAATGACAAGGACCCTCTCAGGAGAAAACTAATTTCCTGTCAAATTCATTTCAGGAAGTATAATCATAATAACACCATAACAACATTGGTTGAATAGTTATTCCTGTTGATGTTGTGCTAAATGATTCACTTTCATGACCTCATTTAATCCCATAAGAACCGTAGGAGACAGGTACTATTGCTGTTCCAACTTGATAAATAAGGAAACTAAGGACTTGAGAAAGTTGACCCAAAATCAGTGCTCTCAGTCACCGTGCTGAACTATTTTGAGAAAATGCTGAGACCCTTTTAAAAAAAAAGGTGGCATTGTGTCCTGGTGAAAGGGGCAGTTCCTGGCGTTGAACTCCCTGGATTCCCAGCTTTGCTAGTAGCTGGTTTATTGACTGGACACAATGTACTGAAGCTCTCTGTGAATCTATAAAATAGTGGTTATAAGGTTATCCATCTCTTAGGATTAAATGAGATACTCTTTTTAGTAGCACTTGGCCATGGTAAGTGCTCAATTGATGTTAGATACAGTCATTAACACCACTGTGACCACCTTAATGAAACTGCACTAAATATTCAGGGGAGCTGGGCATCTGTGAAGGATGCAGGAAAATGTCTGAGATCACCAGGATTTTCCCCAGTTTGGGGGGCGGGGGGGGGGTGGATTCCTGGAATGGTGTGCTGAGTTAGAGTAAAGGTGGTGGGAAGTTGTTACTTTTCTAATGAACGGGGGGGAATGTATTGGGGATGACAGAAAGAAAATATTGATGGGTTAGTTTTCATTTTAATCTTACTCTCTCCTGTTTATAGAATTCTATGAAGGTGATGTTCAAATGCCTCTGGAAAAACTGTGGGAAAGTGCTGAGCACAGCAGCAGGTATCCAGAAACACATACGGACCATTCATCTTGGGTAAGGCAACCCTCCCTTCAGAGCTTGAGGCCGTCTCCAGGAGTTCAGTGTAAGGCCCCCTGCATGCAAATTGTATACCACACTATGCCTTAAAAGTTCTCAGTACAGGAATAGAGACTGGGCTTGCTTGGTCTTCTAATCACTGTGGAGAGGGCTACTCAGATAACACAGGCCAACGTGGCACGGTGGAAAGCACGTGGATTTGAACCTGCAGAGCCCTCTCTAATTTACTTACTAAGTGATATTAGGCAAGTCACTGCTCGGAGCCTCAGTTCCATCTGAAAATGAGGCTAATAGTAATATCAGCCCAGCAAGGTCATGGGTAAGTGTCCGAAAATAAAATGTACCCAAGAGTTATTTATAAAGTATAAACCACTAGGGTAAGGTAGGTTCCTTGGGCCCCCTGAAACTGTCAAATTAAATGTGCACTTTTTTCCCAGTGGAGAGGACTGGTGACTTTGAGCCTCAAAAGCATATATATGTATCTGTATGTATCCTAAAAAGGGTTGAGAACCACTGTGTCAGTCAGCACTGTGGTTTCTATTCTCATGATGCCTGATGGCTTTGGCTCCTTCATTTTCAAATAAGCCCTTTATTTGTGCAATCTATGCATTTCTTTGTGTTATAGAAAAACCTTTCTAAGGAAAGAGAACACAAAGTTTCCAACAGCAGTGATTAGGAGCCACACCAGAGGGACAGTGGGCATTCAGCAGTCTGATCCTTTACTCTCTGGGTCTTTCCTGCTCAAGGACCTCAGACTTAGAAGGGACCTTGGGAGGCTGTAAGTCATATCAGTGTGCACAACGCAAATCAAAACGCATGACCAAGTCCCCAAGTGCTTGGACAAAGACGTCCTTTCAACAAGATGAGTGCTGAGAAATAAACACTACAGTCACTCTGCCCAACAAGGGATAAATTTAGGGAATGCATCATCCATTTAAAAAAGTGGTATAAAAAGAAAACAAAAGTGGGTTCGGAGGTGATTGTGCTGATCTGTGCAGGCGGGCTCCTGCAATGACCGTGGTGAGAGGCAGGGAGCTGGCACACGCCCCCAGTGCTGCTGTCTGGGGACACAGCCACGCCCTTCCAGGGCACAGCGCACAGAAGGTCACCAAGCACCGCGTGTGTAGCGCAGCAAGGCCAGGCTTCTGCTCCCCATCACCAGAGGGGCTGGCTTCGCCCTCCAAGAAATACCGCACCGAAACATTGCAGGGCAGAAGGCCCTCGTTCCTGTTGCTGAAGCCCCTGGGAAGGAAATTCTGCAGTGTCTCCCCTCAAACCTCATTGTCAGGACAAGTCCTGATGTAAATAGCTCAGAGTTATTTAAAGGTTTAGGAAGAAACTTCCCAAAGCTATAATCAGGAGCTAGGGTATTTGTTTTAAAGTCCATCTGCCCAGAAAATTGAATCCAATTCAATTCATGTACCTCGCAGCAGCACACGCCATGTATATGTATTTATAGACTGTGAGTGGCATCTCACGATTTCTCGTTGAGCTCCCAGGGCTGCTCTCATGGTGGGTAAAATTCAGAATGCAGCCACTGTACTTGCTTCCCTAGGATTCCGTTTTTACTCTGTGCTTTTAAAATTGCCTTGGTGAGGGGCTCCTGGGTGGCTTAGTCGGTTAAGCGTCCGACTTTCGCTTGGGTCATGATCTTGCGGTTCGTGGGTTCGAGCCCCACGTCGGGCTCTGTGCTGACTGCCAGCTCAGAGCCTGGAGCCTATTTCGGAGTCTGTGTCTCCCTCTCTTTCTTTCCCTTTCTTTCTCTTTCTTTCTCTCTCTCTCTCCTAGAAATAAATAAAAATATTAAAAATAATAATAATAAAAAAATAAATAAAATTGCCTTGGTGAATGAGGATTCACCACCCCACCAGCTGCTGCACAGGAAAGGGCCCGGGTTAGCAGGACTCCAAGGCCTGAGCCCGACCTCCCGCCTGGCCTGGGGGAGGGAAATCACCTTTGCCTTAATCCAGGAGCTCAGTTAGGATGTAGGATGATAGAATAGTTCTAATGAGTGTTGGCTGGCAGGGAGGGAGGGGAGTGTACCACAGCCCCCCCAAAACACAGATTGCATCCGGTATTGCCACAGTGCACACGAGGAGTTGAAGAAGTATGGTGTTTTTCTCTTAAACCGCACTCCGCTCTTGCACACCAGGGGCTGATCTTGATTTATCCCCACGTGGGGGACACAATTTCCCCCAGGCCCATGTGTCTATTAGTAGCGCTCAGCAGCCAGTAGCAACTTGGCCTGCCCTTTACTGGGAAGGAAGTGGGGACAGGAATAGAACAGGCACACATTCTTGGGCCCACTCTCTGGGGTCTTTAATGGTATGCTTGTCAGAAAGCCAAGTCCTGCCAGGCCTGGTAGAACACAGATTCCTCCCCGGACGCCTCAGCCTGAGAGCTCAGGGGAAATGGGGCAAGGCTGAGGGAAGCCGCTGATTTGACCAAGCAGAGAGGCCAAGGCGAGGGGCAGCTTTTTATTTTCGGCTCTGTATAGGGCTTGTAAGTTGTAAGGGGGAAAAAGTTGATTCCAAGTCAGTGATCTACTGCTGGTAGATATGTTCTAGAAATTTGGGGATACCTCTTAGAAGGGAGGTAAACAGAGGCCGTCCTAGGGGCGCCTGGGTGGCTTAGTCGGTTGAGCGTCCGACTTTCGCTTAGGTCATGATCTCGCGGTTCGTGGGTTCGAGCCCCGCGTCGGGCTCTGTGCTGACTGCCAGCTCGGAGCCTGGAGCCTGTTTCAGAGTCTGTGACTCCCTCTCTCTCAGACCCTCCCCTGCTCATGCTGTCTCTCTCTCTCTCTCCTAGAAATAAATAAAACATTTAAAAAAAAAAAAAAAAAAAAAAAACAGAGGCCGTCCTATAAAACCAGGTTGCTGGGTGTACACCACTTCTTTAGAAATTGACAAATCGAATAAGTCTTGTCTAAGGTTATGGACAGTTATTTTATTTTACTCATAACTTTCTGTGGAAGAGTACAGTTTCCCGTGTCTCGGGGAGAACTCTGAAAGCACCAAGAAGATACTTTTCTGGCTGATCGTAAAAATTGAAGCCTTTTAACATCAGCGTTACTTTAATTTAATAAGCACTTAGTACTTACACTTCTGCACCCTGTATATTTATTTGCTTAAACCTCTCAGTAAGAGGCACTGTGATTATCCCCATCTTATCAGTATCCATGAAGTCTGCCTGAATCCCAGGCACAGCTAGAGGGTGTTGGGATTTGAACCTAGGAAACTTGATGCCAGGATTCGTCCTCATGATCTCTGTGCTACAACATCAGCTTCATCCCTTCAACACTGAGTAGGCACCTACTCTATGACAGATACGTCGCTATGCGTGGAGAACGAAATCACGGTGTTAGGGAGGTGACGAGGGTTTAAAAAGATTAGAGAAATGTGTCAAATAATGAAATAAAGTGAATTCAACAGAATGAATACACTTCAAAGGGAGCATCGAGGATCTAGCAGTTAGGAGTTAAGTCCTGATGCCTAACCTTCAACAAACCCAATTTGACTTCTGGTCACTTCCATCACCACCCGGTCTCCAGACACTGCAAAGCGAGAACAGCCTCCTCTCTGGCCTCCTGCCCTTGCCCTCTGTCCACTATTCTCCATATGTTAGCCTAAGTGATCCTTTTTTAAAATGTTTATTTATTATTGGGGGTGGGGAGAAGTGAGCAGAGGAGGGGCAGAGAGAGAGAGGGAGACAGAGGATCCAAAGCGGGCTCTCTAGCGGACAGCCCTACGTGGACCTCACCAAGTGGCCTCAAACTCAAACTCACCAACCGTGAGATCATGACCTGAGGTGAAATCGGATGCTTAAGGGACTGAGCCACCCAGGTGCCTCAGCTAGAGTGAGCTTTTTAAAAAGTGACTTAGGTTTCTCACAGCCTCCTCTCCTCCTGCCATCCCAGACTTCCGCCACAGCGAGAATAAAATGCAGAGCCATTCCATGGGCTACACAGCCCTATGCGAACTTGGCCCTGCCTTTGTTCACTGTCCCCGGTGCCCAGAGCACCAGCCACTGGGCTGGCCTCCCTGCCCTTTGTGGAGACCTGTGAACCTGCCCACCCCGGGGCCGCGTGCTGCTCTTCACTGCGTGATCTTCCCACTCCTTCTGGCGAGGCTTTCTCCCTCACGTCACGCAGGTCCCTGCTCAAATGTCACCCTTCAGAGGGACTTCCTTCAAACACTCTCTTTAAAATAATGCCTTCCCCATATCAGTTACCCTGCCACAGGGCACTAAATCTGCTTAATTTTTCTTTCTGGGATTTATCACTACCTGATATAGTCAATTTGCATTTCCCTCTGGGGTTCGTGTCTGCCTCTCCCACTAGAATGTAAGTTCCAACGGGTCATAGCCTGTGCTTTGTTCACCTTGATATCAGGAGACCCTAGAAAAGTGCCTGGACATAATAGATTCTCAATAAATTGTTGTTGAATAATTTGATTGATTGATTGATTGAATTGTTTTAAGAGGTCAAGAAGGCCTCCCTGGAAGTGGAGTCAGAGTTTGCCAGGCAGACAAGACAGAGGGAACAGCATGTGCAAGATGTCAAGGCAAGAAAGCAAACGGGGTTTGTGTAATCTTGTCTCCTTCACTCTAGACGCGTTGGGGACTCCGACTACAGTGATGGAGAAGAGGACTTCTACTACACTGAGATCAAGCTCAACACAGACTCCGTGGCAGATGGACTGAGCAGCCTGGCCCCCGTCTCACCTTCTCAGCCCCTGGCTTCGCCGCCTACTTTCCCCATCCCAGATTCAAGCCGAACGGAAGCTCCTTGTGCCAAAACTGAGACGAAACTGATGACACCCTTGAGCCGCTCAGCTCCCACCACCCTCTACCTCGTGCACGCCGACCATGCTTACCAGGTGACTTGCAAAGGACTGTGAGAGTAATCACTTTGACCCCTGACCAAAAGCAGTAGTGTTCTGACCTGTGAGGAAAGAGTAACCCGGTAGAAAAACAGCATCACACACGGAGCCCGGTAGCTGAGTTTGTTCTGTCGTCTCCTTCGAAAGCCCAGATCTCACCCAAATGGGCCCCTGTGAATTCTCGGATTCCCCGATACTGACTGAAGAGCCAGTCCCTTAGAGGTTGTTCATAAGGATAGCATCCTTAATATTGTAAAGCCCTCCGAAGGGTGGCTGGCACACGATCTGTTACACAAAAATAAATAGACAAATGTAAAGGTGAGCACTGAAAAGCTTTGTCACAATGGCAGAATTGTCCTGCTCCCCGGATCTGGGATTTCATGCCCTGCCTTCTGAATTGGTAATGAACTCTCACAGATCAGGGCAGTGATTATCGGTGTTCCCAAATCAACAGTGTCAGCATCACCTGGGTACTTGTTGGAAATGTAAATCCTTGGGGCATCCGGGTGGCTCAGTGGGTTAAGTGTCCAACTTCAGCTCAGGTCCTGATCTCGTGGTTCATGGTTCGAACCCTGTGTCGGGCTCTGTGCTGACAGCTCCGAGCCTGGAGCCTGCTTCAGATTCTGTGAATCTGCCCCTCCCCTGCTCATGCTCTGTCTCTCCAAAATAAATAAACGTTAAAAAAATAAAATAAGAAACATTGATTTGTTTTAATGACATTTCCGAATATTCAGCTTTTTAAGAAAACATCTTTTCCATAATTCTCAACTGCTTTATGCAACATTTTTAAAAAATCTCCCATCTGTACTTGTTAATTGTGTTCTCCTACCCTTGTTTTATAAGCAGTTTCCATATAACTGAAGAGTATTCGATTAAATCGAAGCACCAAATTGTTTTAGTTGTTCTCTTATTGTTAGGCATCTACTTTTTGGTCTCTCCACTTTCTCCACTATCATTAGTAACTGGACTGTGAAACGTCTGTGCCAGTACTTTTCTTTCTCCCTTCTGAATTTCCAGAAGACTCATTATTGAGTCAGAGGATCTAAGGCGAACAGCTTATGGCTCTTGCTATGTGTTGCCAAAACATTTTCCAGTGGTGCCAGTTACCAAACCACGGCCACTGCCTGTATTTATAATTAGAAAAACTAAAGCTGCAGAGGAAGATGTCAGACACTTATGTAGTAGACTTACACTCAAGAGCAATGGAATAGAGCTAATTATTAAAGGAGTTGAGGCAATAAATTTCACTCCTGACTCTTGTTATGTTGGTCAAAGAGAATAATTAATTTCTTTGTTCTTGTCTGTCAGTGCTCCATTTAGAAACACGGGCTCGAGATCATGGGCTTGAATCAACTAAAACCATTTTGCTCATCTGTATGACAGTAGGAACATGCAGTCAGTGATCTGAAAGGTCCTTCCCAAACCACTGATTCACAGTATTGGTGTTTTACTGTTTACAGACATTAGAAGTGTTCAGCGTAGAAAGTATTGAAAACACAAGCAAATAAAATTCATCCCCTAATCTCAACAACAAGAAAGGCCCTTGGTTAATACGTTTATACGTCCTTCAGTGTGTTCCTTGTGTTCTGTGTGTATATGTATACTCGTTTTTTTAAAAAAGGAATTTATTGTAGCACTGTTTCTATTGTGCTTTGTTTTTGCCATTTAATACAGAATGAGCATTTTCTCATGCCAGTGAGTATTCTTCAGTAACACCAGGCTCTGCGGGTATATTGCGATTTACTTACCCCCTTCCTTATTATTGGACGTTTACATTTCCAGTTTTTTGCATAATACATAGTTCTGCAGTAAACATACTCATAAAAATTTAAAAATTACCCTCCCGAAATGTTGCACCAATTTACGCACACAGCATCACTGTATAAAACTGTTTCCCAACTGGATAGCAAGCCATGGGGTTTTTCACAAAAATAGGTATATGTCCTAAAATAGGTATATGTGTGTATAATAAGGTCTCTTTTCAGAAATCATCAGAAACCTACTTTTTATTTCTTAGATTGCTAAAGACACATAAAAAGTTGATTTCTAACTATTCTCTTTGACTATGTCTAATCTCTTGTTGGATATTTAGTCTAAGTTATTAACACAGCTGAAATCATTTTTGAGGCCCTACCTAGGCAATGATGGCTTAAGACTCTGAGGGAAAATGTTCTTTCAACACAATGCTCTGTTTTCTGTGTAACAGGCCACGCCCCCCGTGACCATTCCAGGGTCGGCCAAGTTCACCCCCAACGGCAGCAGCTTCAGCATTTCTTGGCAGTCTCCTCCAGTTACCTTCACAGGCATTCCAGTAAGTAGAAAAACAAAAAGCCAGAGACCTGGTCAAAGATGAACATAAATTTGGAGAACAGATTGTCAAAACACGCTAGAAAAAGGCAAAACTCAGAATGCCAGAGGTACTCTCTTTTTTTTTTTTATTTTCTATCATTTATTTATTTTTTATAATTTACATCCAAGTTAGTTAGCACGTGTTGCAACATGATTTCAGGAGTAGATTCCTTAATGCCCCTCCCCCATTTAGCCCATCCCCCCTCCCACAACCCCTCCAGTAACCCTCTGTTTGTTCTCCATATTTAAGAGTCTCTTATGTTTTTGTCCCCCTCCCCGTTTTTATATTGTTTTTGCTTCCCTTCCCTTATGTTCATCTGTTTTGTATCTTAACATCCTCATAGGAGTGAAGTCATATGATATTTGTCTTTCTCTGACTAATTTTGCTTAGCATAATACCCTCTAGTTCCATCCATGTAGTTGCAAATGGCAAGATTTCATTCCTTTTGATCGCCGAGTAATAACTCCATTGTGTATGTATGTGTGTATATACACACACATGTACACATCTTTTTTATCCATTCATCCATTGATGGACATTTGTGCTCTTTCCATATTTTGGCTGTTGTCGATAGTGCTGCCGTAAACATTGGGGTGCAATGCTGTGTCCCTTCGAAACAGCACACCTTTATCCCTTGGATAAATACCTAGTAGTGCAATTGCTGGGTGTAGGGGAGTTCTATTTTTAATTTTTTGAGGTACCTTCTTAGTGTTTTCCAGAGTGTCTGCACCAGTTTGCATTCCCAAGAAGTAGTCTATTTCTTAACTGAGATTTGTAAACTCCTCAGCAATGTATTTCACCTCCCAGACCAGCCCAACTTCTCTGTGAAAAAGGTGTGATGACTGACATTTTAGAAAACTAGGAGAGACTCGCAGCTGTTGATCAGCAACTGTTAGAAATATATCAAGACTTTTTGTGTTGGTGGTGTAGTTGTCTGTTTCTGAAAGGCTCTGCAGTATCAATAGCTGAACTCAGAGGCTGAATATAATGAAAGAAAAAGACCCTGTAGTTAATAATATTTATCATTATGAGTCACTTTAAAAAAAACTTATGACTTTGAAATTATTGTTTGTGGGTATGCCATTTTTAAAATTTTGAAAATAACATAAATTGAAATAATTTTTTTCTTCCAAAGATTGAATAACCCATGCTGATGTATACTCTGAAAATACGCAAGTGCTGAATTATGCAGTCAGAGTTTAGTAGTATATAAGAATTGATCTGACATATGAGATGACGGCTGCCTGATAAACTATGAGCTAACTTGATTCCTAACCATTCGTTTAAAAATATATCGGGTCTTTTATAGTTTATCACAGTCTGTCCACAGACCTACACACCATTGATGCCCTCAGTGGTTTAAAACTCCTCATAAGGCTCACAAAGTGGCTTATGATAACAGATATTAACCTTATTCTCACCTCTCCACCCCTCTCTCCAAGGACCTCACAAAAGCTTCTTATTGTCAACCACTGGCAGCTCCCAGAGGTTTCCAGAAAATTCTAAGGCCTCCTACCGGGCTGATAAAAATGAAAGCGGCTCAGTCAGTTATGCCGTGCTCTGTCAATGAATATTTATTAAATTCTCTAGGAGAATAATCAACAATAAAAAGCATCCTGTTGGCAGCAATTTGGGCATTTGTGGATTCCATAAAATACTCCTGAAATTTGATTTTTTAAATAATAATCGAGGATCTGGAGTAACTATGAAAGTCGCCTGTCTCACCTAATAGTAGTAAGCGTTTGCCACTCTGAAAGAGCAAGAAAGCAACGAAGGATCTTGCTGTAGACATGAGAAGAAAACGTGTATGTATCAGTCTTGCTCTTGTTAAGAACAGTGATCTACTGAAGAGGGTGTCAGAGGTTAGCAATCAGTCCTTTGGGGGACTTTTTTTTTTTTTTTTTTTTTGGTAGACATAAAAAGACCCAGAGTGGTTCTCGATATCACAATTGAGACAACCCTTCTAACCTAGAAAGGCAGCCATAAGTACAGAATAATAGAAACCCACTGTTCTGAATCCTGTAAATTCCTGTCTTTGATTTGAGAACAATTTTCAAGAGTACACACCATACTGCCCACCTGGTGTACAAACAAGTGTCGCATGTGGGTGAAACGGCCCACATGCTCTGTGACCAAAACAACCGGAATTTCTTTGCCTTTGCTCTGTTAATTAAATCATCTCCTTCTGAAATAGTAGAGAAATCAGTCTGAGTGGGTTTTTACTAGCTAATGCCCTCCAGAGTTCCTAAATGTCTTACACAGTAAGATACCAGCCAGGATACCTTCTACTGTTTGTCCTCCAGCAGTGAAATCTTCTCTGCTGTGAACACGGTGTATATCTCTACCCTCATCTCGATGCCCTAGATTTTTCAGAGTCCCTAATTTCATTGGTGACCAAGGACATTCTAGACAAGAAATTTGAAGGGAAGCATATAGGGTGGCTAGGTTAACTAGGTATCCCACTCAAATCCTAATTTAGATTCTAATTTATTCTTTCACCGGAGAAGTCTCAATCTATCTGGTTGAGTAATGTTTCAGCCAACCCTTTAGACTTGTCTTAGCAGCCATTCCTATTTAAAAATAAAGATATGGGTGGGGCGCCTGGGTGACTCAGTCTGTTGGACGGTTGGGCGTCTGACTTTGGCTCAGGTCATGATCTCGAGGTTTGTGGGTTTAAGCCTCGCAGAGGGCTCTGTGTTGACAGCTCAGAGCCTGGAGCCTGCTTCAGATTCTGTCTCCCTCTCTCGCTGTCCATCCCCCGCTTGCACTCTGTCTCTCTCTCTCTCTCAAAAATGAATAAACATTAAAAAAAACTTAAAGATACAGGAAGGGGATGGTATTTTCCGAGGCTTTGTTTTACCCTTGAAAGAAGGCTCACTATTCAAAATGTTCTTTATGTGGCTAAATTATCTATCAATACTTTAAAAAAAAAAAAAGTGGGTGCAGGGCGCCTCGGTGGCTCAGTCGGCTGAGCCTCTGACTCGATTTCGGCTTGGGTCGCCGTCTCATAGTTAGTGGGTTTGAGCCCCACATCAGGCTCTGCGCTGACAATGCAGAGCCTGCTTGGGATTCTCTGTCTCCCTCCCTCTCTGTCCCTCCACTATTCTGTCTCTCTCCCTCAAAAATAAATAATACGTTTTTTAAACACACACAAAAAAACATTTTAAAAAGTGGGTGCATACTGTTTGCCTCCTTCGACTGAAGGCTGGATCTTAAAACTGCACACCACACAGACACTGTACTGGCACACGCCCACTGGCTAGGCGCCGGCACCTGTCCCCGGATCCTCCAGGTACGTTAGCCCGTCCCTAGAAGACTGGGAGCCAGGATGAACCAAAGAGCACGTGAACTCCTACCTTCTAAATTAATGTAGTAAGGGCTTCAGACAGGAGCTCTAAACATTTTAAATCATAATGAATTAGTATTAGTGATGGCCTCAACCATATCCAAACTGAAGAACACAGCAGCCTCCGTTTTATGAAATGCTCTTTAAAGAACACATTTCTCTTTGTACTCCGAAACAAATGCCCTAAGGTTGTCAACCCCATTTAAGGTTTGATTTTTTCCCCACATCTTAGAGATCTGGTATTGGGGGGGTGGGGGCGCTGCTTTTATATGCTTCGTAGAGCATGGAAATAATCTCCTTCTGACAAATCCCAAGGTTTGCAGGATTTTATTTATTCATTTGCCTACGCTAGATTTCCTGAACATCGGGCTTTAATAAGTTCCCTGGGTAAGACCTCTTCCCAGAGGTGTGTCGTGGAGGAGGCTGTTCTGCGCATTTACAAATGGAACTGAGGGTTCAGTCTTTTCTAGCCGAAGGCTGTAGACACGCGGGTAGGGAGAAGACCCTCATTAATTACAGCATTCTTGGAGCTGTTTTTCCCAAATGACCCCATCCTATCTTCTAATTATCTACATTCTTTTCTCTGTCTTTTCATGGCAGAAAACTGAGAGGTTTTGGCACCTGTATGAGTCTGCTTGTACTGTCTTAACAGACCACCACAGACTGGATCACTTTAAACCACCAAAGTGTATTTTTTCACAGCTCTGGAGGCTAGAAGTCCCAGATCAAGGGGCTGGCTACTTCAGTGCCCCGTGAGAGCTCTTTGTGGCTTATAGAGGGCCACCTTCTCACTGTGTCCTTACCAGGCCTTTTCTGTCGGTGGAGGCAGGGGGTGGGGCAGACAGAGAGCCCTCTGGTAGCTCTTCTTATAAAGACACTAATCCTATCGGGTCAGGGTCCCAGCCTTTTGACCTTATTTACCCTTAATTAATTCCTTAAAGGCTCCTATCCAAATATAACCACACTAAGGATTAGAGCTTCCACATATGATGGGGGTGGGGGGCACGCAGGGCACAAGCATGCAGTCTGTAACAAGCCCAGGCAAGCGAGAGCTAATAAGCCTGATCTCCAACGGCCATTCCTGGCGGCTTCAGGCTGGAAGGAGGGTCCTAGAAGGTAAAATAGCAGTGCTTAATTGTTAGACATTGAGCTGGATTTTTTTTTTTAACACCTTGATGGAGGAATCAGAATAGTGTGTTATAAGAGGTTACAACCAAGACAACAGTGTGGGGTTTTTTTTCCATCTGAGAGAGAGAAAATCACAAAGACAAGAAATTTCCCCCACGTGTTTACAGAGGGACACAGCATTCTTATGACTGCTCTGGTATGAGGCTCAGATGCAAAGCCTGACCCTGGCATTTACAAACTGTGACCTCCAGCCAATCACATGACCTTTCTTAGGCAATGTTCTCAACTGTAACCTACCTCATAGAGTTGTGTTGTTGAGCACAGTGCCTGGCACTGGCTAACAGTGTGGAGCACTCACTGTCATTGCTGCCTGTGACGTGTCTCATTGCTGTGAAACAGAAGCCAGAGGAAGTGAATTCCCCCTCCTTGGGATTGACCTATATAACACATACGCACTGAACATGTGAGAGAAATTAGCCATGATTTCTGCAGACCGAAGTTCTTTAAACTCTTCTGAAATCACACCTAATCAGCAGAAAGATTAAGGCATATAGAGTCGTCCATGCTTCCCAAGCTGTGTGTGAAACCACATTACTGTGTGAGATGTGTCATTCACAGCAAGGTGGCCTGGCTGGGAGTCCTCAGCTCGTGTGACGCACAGAAGGACCAAACACCCCTGCCCCGATTTAGACCCACAAAGTGCTGTCCCCACGACCTCCACCGAAGCCCATGGGAGGAGCTCAGTCCTTAAGGACCAAAGAAAAACTGTTCTCGGGGGGAAAAAAAATGGAGATTATAATATTTTTGAAAAAAATTTATTTACTCACTTCGTCACTTATTCTTATTTAGAAAAATACCATAGAGTTCTCTCCAAGTATATCATATACTTTATAACATGCCCCAAAATAGAACTTAGAAATGATTGGGGAGCCTGGGTGGCTCAGTCGGTTAAGTGTCTGACTTTGGCTCAGGTCGTGATCTCACGGTTTGTGGGTTTGAGCCCCACGTCGGGCTCTGTGCTGAACACTTGCTCAGAGCTTAGAGCTGCTTCAGATTCTGTATCTCCTTCTCTCTCTGCCCCTCCTCCACTCGTGCTCTGTCTTACTCTGTCTCTCAAAAGTAAATAAATGTAAAAAAATTTTTTTTAAAAAAAGGAATGATTAAGATATAAAAGTGATAAAGATTTGACAAGTGGAGACCACTGGGAGAGAAAACCAAAATAATGCTGTGCGGGGCTTTATCTCTGTGCATACCACACTTGCATCGGCTACACGGCAAGATGGCAGAATGGAAAGAGCAGTGGACATAACTCGCTCCGTCGTCTGCCGGTAGGAGATAGCCTGTGGTCCGGCGCTGGCCCCAGCCCCACGAACTGTGTGGCAGCTTACTTCAGGACTCCACTTCCTCACTGAGAAAGTGGAAACGATAGTGATACTACTTATCCTGGGGTCACTGTGGAGATGAAAGTGGATAGCACTCAAGGGCCCTTAGTTTAACAAGCGCTCGGTAAATTACTACCACTGCTCCTTATAACTCTGGGATGCTGCACAGGCCACCTCCCTGCTCCAAGTCTAAAGTATCTTATCTACAAAATTCAGATAACAGCGTTCCCTTGCAGGGGTTTTGTGAGAATTAAAAGAAATCATAAATCACCCAGTAGCCTGCCTTTCGCATTGGCGAGCGCTCAATACGGGTTAGCTCCCTGCACCAGCCACCACGTCTTCCCCACCCACAGCCCCCCCCCAAAAAAATAAAAAGCTAAACCATGATTGTCTTGCTATCAAAAGTGTCAAGGAAAGCCCACAAGGTAGACCATATTGATCCTCACACAGGACGCATCCACGCGCCAATGTGTGACGTGGGTCCTGCCGTCGCCTGTGTCGTCGCGGCTGGACGGGACGATACACGCATGCCCAGAACTCCCGAGTTAAGAAAGCCGTTCACTAGAGAGGGGTTAGTCCTGCAGTCGGTCTGTATTCCTCAAACTTGGAATCTTCAAACGCCTGGACCTCCCTCCCTCCTCAAACAACCACGGCGCCAGTCTTCCCGTGTCTGTAAGTGGCCCACCGTCCCTGTGGCGGCTCAGGCCCGCACCTAGGACTCACCCTTGACTCCTCCTGATGCATCCCTGATTCTTCTAAAGATTTGTGCTCCTTTTTTCCCCGTCCTTCATCGAGTCCCAGACTCTGTCTGATCCTGCCATGAATCCAGCCACTTCTCAGCACCACTGCCACACCCTCATCCAAATTGCCAGTACCTCTTTCCCCTCAAATACTGTGAAAGCCTCTTAAATAGACTGCAGGGCTCCCCTCCAGACCATCTCCAGTTCACTCGCAAGGGAGCCCAAGGGATCTTTTTAAAGTATTAATCAGATGTCTCTCTTAAAATTCTCCGGTGGCTTCTCTGGTACTTGGAATGATGTTCAACTCAGGGATGCCTACGTGGCAAAGTCGGTGAGGCGTCCGACTTCAGCTCAGGTCCTGATATGGTTCCTGAGTTGGAGCCCTGTGTTGGACTCTGCGCTGACAGTGCAGAGCCTGCCTGGGATTCTCTCTCTCTCTCTCTCTCTCTCTCTGTCTCTCTCTCTCTCTCAAAACCAGATAATAAAAAGAAAAAAAGAAAAAAATGACAGTCACCTCAGATTCGTCCATCCCAGCCAGGAAGCATGCCCTGAATCTACCACCTCGTGCCCTCTCACCCCCAACTTCCACACCATGTGTCTTCTGGCACCACCGACATTCTGCAGTTGGAGGCCTGTGCCACTGTCCCCCTTTTCTCCAGAGTGCCCTGGGGGGGAAAGGCAACCCCTCAGGGGCCTCCCTCACCACCCAAAATAAATAAATGTCCTCTCCCTTGATGACGCTTTGCCTATTGGCCTATTTTATTTTCTTCAGGCACTCATCACTAAAATGATCTTATCTGTCCGTATTTCTTGTTTGTCCCCCGCTAGAATGTACGCTCTGTGAGGGCAGAAACTCGGTATTGTTCACAGCTATGTACCCAGGATCCAGAACGGTGCCTGGTGCATAGTAAGTACTTCATAAATACCTGATGAATGAAGAGCACCTCTCATCTCACCTCACCCCACACAACAGGGGTATGGCAAATCTGCACAATTTAGAACCTTCCATGTTATTCCCCAGCTGATGTCGCGTCAACTAAACTTCTCCTAGTTCTCACTAATAAGGCGGTATTCTTCAGATCCTGTGAATTCTACAGTAATTTTTAATTTTTTTACTTGTCTTGACCATTTAAAAGAATGCATATGAGCACATTCTAGATCATTGTGGTGGCTATGAACATCTGAAGCCTTCACTCCCTCTGGTCTGCTGTTACTCACTCTGGTCAGGGATGGGATGTGGGGTAGGATGTGGGGGGAGACTCAGCATCTGGGAAGCCCTCCATATCTGTCTACATCAAATGCATATGCTGAACCTCAACGCTTTTGTTTAAAAAGAAATATATGTGTGTTAACTCACTTCTGGCTCTCACTCCTACTCAGCCTTAGCAAAATTGTAAAGACCAGTGGTATAGAATAATTCAGAATCATGGCAATAATGGTTTAAAATGTTAGGTTTTTACTCACCTGTTTATTTTGTAAATTAATGTCTAGAAAAAGAACACTGATGTATATTCCTTTGAATTGAAAGGAAATAAAAAGTGCTCATATCTGTACTAGAGAAGTTCAATCCTATAAGGATGCTTTAGGGATGTTCCCATGCCTGTCAGTCGGTCATGGTACTTCTGTGGCCATGTTGACTTCTAGAGTTTCTAAATTAGAGTTTCTAAGTTTCTAAATTAAATTAAACGTCTGCACTTCTGTATATGGCAATGTCATGTATTTACTTGAAATACCATTTAGCTTTTCTTTAAAAAAAATTCATTTTTTGTAGCTGTTGAGAATCCCAAATGCTGGGAAGATCTTTAGCATTATGAGAGCAGGTGATGCAGAGGGATGGGTAAGAAATGCAAGAGAAATCCAGAACAAGAGGCTCTCCTGCTACTGTGACTGAGAGGCAGAGGTGTGATGGGGTTAAACACTAGTTCTGGAACTTAGGACTGATGGATGTGGGGGGGAGGGGGGAGATGGGCATGGAGGAGGGCACTTGTGGGGATGAGCACTGGGTGTTATATGGAAACCAATTTGACAATAAACTATTTGTGAAAAAAAAAAAAACAACCACAAGTTCTGGCATCAGGTAGAGCTCAGCACAGCGCTGGCCCTGCCATTACAAGTTCCATGACCTTGGCCAAGTTATTTAACCTCCCTATGCCTCGGTTTCCTCATCTGTAAAGTGGGAACAAGCATAGTACCCACCCCGTGGGGCAGTTGTGAAAATGAAAGATATGGTCAGGGAACCTGGCACCTGGCGAGTGCTCAGGAAGTATTTCATGGGTGACTTCTGTTCTCGACTTGGTTGGGCTCTTTGCTTCTAGCCTTTCTTCCTGTTTGGATCCCACAGTCTGCTGTGTGGGTGTCTCATGCAAGAAGTCCTTTATGTAGGGGCTGTGAATGATCTCATAAACCAAACGGGAGGCCGAGGTCCCCGTTGTGCTATTCCCATTGACTAGCCTGATAATTTGCAATAACTCTCTTCACCTCTCTAGTGACTTGTCTGTTTTCAAAGGTAGATTGTGAGGCTTAAAATAGGTGAGACTATACTTTAAGGTTTGGAATGTTATTCAAGTGAAAATATGTTACTATGGGCAGCTTGGAATGCACGCATGAAGTGGTGAAGATTTTTGAAGTATTCGTTGTTGCCAAGGTTTTCCTGTTTGGGGAGGCATTTAAATTCACCTTTAACGTGTGTCTCTGTGAAGAAAGCACTTCATCTCCGTGGCTGATAGTCAGATACCACTGCCCGTGGACAGTGAGGAGAACCTGCCCATCAACTTTGTTTTCCTTGTACTTACCAGGTGTCGCCAACGCATAATCATCCGGTGGGCACAGGAGAGCAGAGACAGCACACTCACACGGTCTTGTCCTCCCCACCCAGAGGGACAGCCAGCCTGAGGTATGACTGCTCGAAGCTCCACACTCCTCATCTCAAGGGAATTCGCTGAGAAACAGAAGAACAGCAGGGAAGAGAGAAGCCAGAGATATGATATTCCATAAAATTTCCCTGGAATGGACAAAACACCCTCTCCTTTGTGCCTTTGGCTTTCCCCACCCAGCAGTTATTCATGAAGATTTGTTGTTTCGGGGGAAGGGGTGGTAATGGTTGCCGTAAGTTTTCTCGCAGAAGAGGTAACGGTAATTACTGGGTCTATTAAAGCCAGTTAATAGTCGCATTAACCTCTGTGTTAAGAGAACTATGAGGTATAGTTTTTAATACACAGATCAAGGAGAAACTCCTCAAGAGTTCTTTAACCAGAATGCTAGAAATCTGAAAAGCAAGAGAGCACCTGAAAGTACATATTTAAAACATAAAAGAAGAAGACTTTTATATTTACTTGCTTCATTCAATTTTATGAAGATGGCCAGTGGACATGGCCACAAATGGACAAGTAGAAGCTTAAGAGTTATAGTAGCAAATTGTGGGCGCCTGGGGGACTCAGTCAGTTAAGCGTCCGACTCTTGATTTCAGGTCAGGTCATGATCCCAGACTCGTGGGACTGAGCCCCACATTGGGCTCCTCCAAGCTGAGCGTGGAGCCTGCTTGAGATTCTCTCTCTCTCCCTCTGGCCCTCTACCCTGCCTGCACATACTCTCTCTCTCTCTCTCCCTCTCTCTCTCTCTCAAGTTAACAAAATACTGTTTTAAGAGTTGTAGGGGCGCCTGGGTGGCTTAGTCGGTTAAGCGACCGACTTTCGCTTAGGTCATGATCTCACGGTTCGTGGGTTCGAGCCCCGCGTCGGGCTCTGTGCTGACTGCCAGCTCAGAGCCTGGATCCTGTTTCAGAGTCTGTTTCTCCCTCTCTCTCTGACCCTCCTCTGCTCACGCTGTCTCTCTCTCTCCTAGAAATAAATAAAAAAAAAAAATTAAAAAAAAAAAGAGTTGTAGTAGCGAATTGTAATAGCTAAGTGCTGTGGTGTGAAGACATCCAACACGTTAAAGTCCAAACCTAGTAAGAACCTCTGCTCTGTTTCTTCACGTTGTTTCTTGCCCTTCCAAGCGATTCAAGGCCTCCATAGAAGGCCCGTTGAACCTGTGGCCCGGAGTAAACGTTCGCCTCTGTCTTACAGGAAGCCCAGGGGAGAAGGCAGAAAGTGCCGGAAGGTGTACGGCATGGAGAACCGTGACATGTGGTGCACCGCGTGCCGCTGGAAGAAGGCCTGCCAGAGGTTCACTGACTGAGGGGCCGCCGGCGCCCGGGTCGCTGCTGCCCTCGCCTTCCGCTGCAGGTCTGGGAAAGCGCTTTCGCTTCTGAACAAAATCCACTTGAAGCCCAGGAAAAGCACTTCCAGGAAACGTGGTGGAGTTACAGCAAAAAACTAAGGTCACCGCCGTCCACTGCTCTTGCTGAGAATCCAGCCTAGAGCGGCTGTAACTGTTTTTTTTCCTTGAAAAGAAAAGTCAGCTTTTTTTTTGCTGTATGGCTGTGACTGCAAACTGTGGACCTCTGTAGCAATTGAACCAACAAAGCCCATTTTACCTAGAAAGGAGGCATATTTTGATAAGCTTTCTGAATAATGCCATTTCTGAGATTTTTTGACATATTAAAAAAAAAAAAAAAGCTACGCGTCATCCAGTAGCATTTGTACAGAGAACGACACTTGCTTTCGCTGTGAATAGTATTTTCCCTGTTTTCCATTTGACTTCTTGGAGCAGTGCGCATCGTGACGCGTTGCCGGAAGGCGCAGCGCTCCGAGCGTCTCTTCTGTGTCTTGTTTGTTTGTTTGTTGCGTTGGGGAGGATGGCCCCAGACCGAAGCATGGCAGAGCCATTAGCTTGGAGGCCTCGGATGGCGTCAACCCGAAAGGAGATCACCAGCAGACCTCAGCCCCAAGCTGAGTTCAGGACATCCCGCTATAACGTTGGGAACATCTAGGAGTCTTCCTCAGATTGCTAAGAAGCCCTTCCTCCGAGAGGCGGCTCAGCTCATTCTCTACCTGTCACAGCTCCATCAAGGACTGGCACGGCAGCCACCTGGGTCAGCCTCGAGGCTTCTGATCAGGGATGCGATGCGAACCGCAGCGCCCATCCGTTTGTCACTGCTTCTCTGACAGCGCCGTTGCCAGGTTAGTGGGTCGTCGGGCTGTCCCTCAAATCCCCACCACTGACCGGTTTCAGAAGGGGTAGAGAAGCCTGACTGTCCCCACAGGTTTGCTGGAGACAGCGGAGCACAGCCCAGCGCATCCCCCTCTGTTCAGAGAGACCTGTGAGGTCAGCAAACCGACATCCATGCTGAGTGCACTTTTACAGGTCTTATGCTTTAGCGTGTCTGGGAGATGGGTTAATGAACAATACAAACGTGATCTGAGAACATGGGAGGTCCAGAACTTTATTTTTCTTATAAAAATATTCCGTTCACTAGGAATGTGCTCAGAGGGGAATGAACGGAACACCAAAATGAAGATGCATGTGGGTATAGGAATCTCTCAGTTCAGTAGGACCAGGGCTTGCACTGTGTTGCGTTTAGCAGGTTTCCTAGCCTTGTGTGTTTGTGTGTGTGTTTGTTTGTTTTGGTGGTAGTGTTGTGTGGGAGTAGTTGTCACGTTCTATATACAAGCTCATTGTCTATCTGTCCTACTCTCGATTGCCCTGCTGAAGTTACTTTTCCTATCCCTATGCAAAGGAGTAAGAGCACCTTCTAGGATGCGCTGTGTCAGGACGGGGAGCCGAGGATCAGCCATAGGAATGTTCAGTGAAATTGCCCAGAGGAGAGTTTAATATACGTTTAGAGATTGTACATACATGTTTGTTTTAAGGAGTTGAAAGAAGTCACTTAGGAATAACTTAACTCCTTTTCCTTTTCTAAGCAAGGGAAATGGAAGAAGGTTCCACGGTGTAATATCCACAGCCTGTACGTGCATAGATTCTGGCAATTTTATTTTTGAAGCTCTCGCGTGACTTGTGAAGCCTTATTCCTCAGAAGAGATCCTGTTCTCTTCCTTCGTTTATTTTCCTCTTGAAAACACGTAGTTCAAGAGAGCAGGAAAAGAGCTCCCTTTAATTTCATGTGTAACCGAAAATCATGTTTCATTTCATGGTTACCAATCAATAGTAGCCACAGCACCAGCTGTAATGTGTGTTTTCGTATTTACGAGGTCAGCCAGGAAAGGGCATTTTTTTTAAAGGGCCGAAGCGTAGTTGCGTCCTCAGCCCCAGCGTGTCTTTTCTCCTCCCTGGAGTCCTTTCGTCTCACCCACAGGCACCCTCTGCTGTGACACGACGCTCTGGCCTGGTCCAGGAGGCCTGGGCTATCACTCAAGCGGGTTCACCGCGTACCGAGATGATGGCTGGGATGCAGTCCCCGAGCAGAGGTCTCTCTCTTCGCCAGAGCTCCGTGGCTCCTGATCCTTGGATTAAGTCACTCATCAAAAACCATTACAGTGATGAGGGGCTAAATCCATCCTCCCCACTTCCCAGAACTCTGGGACCCAGGAAGGGAGAGGTCCTCACTGCAGAGCGGCCCAGGAGGGAGGTTCTGGGGCCGTGCCCCAGAGAAACAGCGCATGATTGGCTCTGAGCTCTGGCCTGGAGGAGCCTAGCTCAGTCCTTACCTGGGTTTTTGCCAGTGCACAGGTATAAGCAGGAGCGAACTGCCGAATGCATCTTCCCTGGGACCTCTTGTCTTTTCTAACGCCTTCTTCACGCATACCCTTCTGCCGCTCCTGCCCACGTGGGGACTCCTTTCTGCCTACCGGCCCCGGTCTCTGTGTACCTTCTTCTCTGGCACCAGGGTGCACGAACCCTCAGTCCCTTCTGGCACACAACGACATCCATTTTTTTGTACCAAGGCATGTAATAACTGGAGAACCACCAAAATTACCTGGCTGGCCTTGGGAAAAAAGTGATTAACTTCTTGCAAGCCACACAGAAAGCTATGAGTTGCAATATACAGCACTGATTGTAAAAGCCAAAATTACAAAAAAAAAAAAAAAAAAAGACATAGAGCTATTTTGTTATATTTTGGAACTAAATGAAGTGCCAAATTAAGCCTGACCTTCATTTTATACCATCTCTGTGGTACCACGTTCTTTTATGTCTTCGTTTGGCAGGGGGAGGTGGGGATGGGTGCGAAGGGCAGCCCCACGGCATGCTGGCTGGTTAACCGGAGCTCCGTCCACCCCACGGATCTCTGAGACTTGTCTGTGCAAAAGGAATGGCAATACAATGGATTCTAGACCCAAAGTATTTCTAAATAAGGCGTGCGCTAGCCTTTTGACCTTTCTCTCCCTTGATACTTCTTCCTTCAGAAAATAGTTCCCATCTCTGTCTCAAGAAGGCATTTCACGGTAATGGACAGGCATTCTTCAGGTAGCTGCGAAGCAAGGAGGATTCATCATCCGGCAGTAGGTTTAAGCCTTAGTCCTTCCCAGAGGATGTGTGCCCAGTTTATGGGCAGCAGTGTGACAAGATGGAGAAGACACCCGGGTAGCAAGTGGGTGGGTTGGAGGCCCGAGAGGAGAGGCCTATGGACATCTGGCTCCCACTCACCTTGTTCATGCTGATCGGCCAGTGGTGACTGTCCCTGGACACCTTGGAGGGAGCTGTCATGTTGCCCCTCCAGGAGCGGCTGCCTGCAGCAAGGAGGGAGCTCCCTTACGGGAAGCGGCTCTGACCAGGGATGCAGGACTCCCGTGCACATCTCCAGTGGGCATGGACTTCCTCCCACCTTACTTGCTGGAAAGGTTCCTCACCTGGTTGGTAAACGCCAGGCTCAGGAAGAAGGCAGTGGGCTCCTGAATGAGTGCGCGCCCTGCGGTGAAGTGCCTGTCAGCAGCTCCGTGCACCGAGGTGCCCTTTATCAGATGGTCCCTTGTCCAGTCACAGCTGTGTTGCAGACAAACACTTGCAGTAGTGATGGGGGTTACAGTTCTTGGGCTTTCCAACATCTTTTCAAAGAAATAGTTACACGGATGGTGCGAAGGATTTCTGAGACTGAGATGCCCTCTATCCCATTTCAAGATCGTCTGCGCCTGAGTCGGCTGTCGCCAGTGTCACACCAGGCCACGCTTTTGAAAGCCGCCCTGGGTTCTGAAGTAGCCCTCACCGCTGCTGCAGGCCTCCTTCATCAGACTTCATCGGAAAACAAAAGAGCGGCATTCACCTGCGAATGTTTAGAGGCAGGGGGCAAGAACTGTACATACGGGAGAGAATACCTTGAGAATAGTAGCAAAATACTGTCAATAATATTCATTTCCTCAGGGAAACTTAAAGGGTATGTGGAAGATAGACCTGGGAGATCCTAAAACTAGAAAGACTTTTCTTATCTCCAGAGTCTTTCCCAGTCAGAACTGTTCGGGCGGTATTTTTTTTTTTTTTTTTTTAATGAACATGATAAGTATTTCAAGACAAATTTACATGAACTGGACAATACTAACTTTTTGAAGAGCAATGCTCTATGGCAAAGAGCTGTTTCTTTGTAGCTGACGTGCAGTCTAAGGCTGCCATGTGAACCACAGGCACAGTCCCTGGTGGATATTCACAGACTCTTAGAAGGCTTTTCCTGAATGTAATTGTGAATACGAAGCCCTGGTGTTCCTTTTCGTAATCACCCGGTTGGGTGACTGTACACAGAACTCTGTAGGCGAAAGCTGTTAAAGACATGCGTTTTGCATTAATAGCATGTTAAGGAGCGAACTTCCATGGACTTTTGCGGACAAGGTGCTGCTTTTTCTCATGACCCTGTAGAATTTCTATCGACCACATCAACTGTAGCATTGACCTGGATGAAGACAGGGAAGGATTTGTGCATACAAATGAGGGGAAACAGAGCCGAATTCATGAATATGGATGAGGATGTGGATCATTTTGGAGAAGGCCCTGGGTACATGGGTCAACTGGAAATTTCATTTCTCTGAGAAAATGCCCCTACCAGTGGCACATACACACTCCCTGTTCCTCATACCTGTGGGGATTCCTCTCTGCTGGAACTGTTCCCTTGTGTCTTTTTCATTGTAACTTGTCAAAGCAGAAGTCGGTAAATAAAGTGAGATTAGCACTTTTAGGTACCAATTGTATCACTAAGTAATGCACACCAATAGAGCAAGAAAGTATAAAATGTATTTAAGACCGACCGGTTTGCTTATTGTGAGTGACTTTGAAAAAACCCATACCCAATGATATACATGCTTTAAAAGGTGTACCTAGTACAAGACCAGATTTCCAAGTGGGGACCTTACTTCTGGTCCTGTTTTGTAAATAGTGGCTTTTTTTTTTTTTTTGAAGACAATCTCCTGTTTTATAACTTCTCGTGTGGGTCTGAGAATCACAATGGTAACGTGTTGTGTCAAAACGTAATCTTAAATACAATAATAATTATAACTTAATTTTCCAAATAAGACAAGAAATATACTGCTTTAGGCTTCTACAATTCGAAGAGACATGACACTTTTATAATAAGCATTGGTACTTCTCAAGTAAACAGAACTGGAAATATTTTACAAGATGCAGTGTTTTGTAATCACAACGAACATGAACATTTTGTGGGAAATGACCTTGGTTTTATACATTGTAGCTTATTTTTTAAAATACAGTATTTACCAGACAGGAAGTGTTAATATTATAAGCAATTCCTGCTCTCCAAACAAAGGGCTATGCCTCTTTTAAGCAAGTGTTTTTGATGCATATCTTTTCAACTAGCCCTCTGTAGCAAGGGTAGAAATGCAGATCATGTGGAAAGGTTATTGTTAAGAGAATCGAGATAGCAACAGCTACTCCTTTTATCATTGCCAGTGTGTTTTCAAAGTATTATGGGAAAAGACACTTTAAGGATCAACCATATGTATCTTAAATGGGAAAATGTTAATAGATACGCTTGTAAGCAATGGGAGAAACATTCTCGTAAATTCTTTAGTGTAAAATGAGATTGCGTCACAAAGACAAGCTTACCACAAACCTGCATTTAACTGGCAACTATCATTTGCTGGTAATTTTTGAAATCATGGTATTGTAAGCCCAAAGATAGAATTTTAAGGTGATCAGTGGTGTTTGAAATAACTTTCCTCAGCACTAACTAAATAACTTTAATTTCCTTATCAAAGCAATTGTTTGATTTTTCACAAGAAGAACAGACATGCAAGGTTGTGATCAGAAAGTCACTGTATTCCCCAGAATCAAGAAACAAGGGAGGGAGCCATGGAGAGCTTATTAACTGCACAAATAATTTTGAGCTTTGCCAAAACCATTTCATAATGCTGTACAGTTTCTTCTAGCCCACTCACTGTTTAAAAAAAATAATAATAAAGCATCTTTTCTTTCTAAGATTTCAGTAACTCAGAAGCTAATTAGCAGTATGCAGATAACATCAAAAGAAAAGCTGGGATAGAATGACCATGTATCCATTGGGCAACTCCTGTGAAGTGGCCAGGGGGTCACTCAGACCTTGCTTTCAAATAGCTTTTAGAATGTGCACACGTGAGGACTAGAAATGCACAGAGATATGGGCAACCACGTCCAGCCTCGGCTCCTGGTCTCTGAGATGAGGCAGTCTGCAACTCTCTGTCTTCATTCCCTTGAATAATTACATCGGTAGCATTAAATCCCCAAGAAGTGTTTACTGCTATATGGTTTTGAACCAAATGAGTCTTGCTTCATTTTTAAATAGAAGCTTCCTAATGGGTCATAGCAGAAGCCTTAGAAAAGCCAGGCAGTATCTGTAAGTGAACGATTCAAATCAGGCAAAACAGGGGCACTACAGAACGCTGGAGGTCATTGTGAGCCAGAGAGCCCGCCCACCCACTGCATAGGGCACCCAGCACTGCATAGGGCACCCAGCACTGCATAGGGTACCCAGCTCCAGACAATCAGAACCATGTAGAAATCAGGCCCAGGGCTGCTAGATCTTCTGACTTGGAAATACGGTGTTACCTGACATTTAAGTGTTGACAACTAACTCAAATTCTTGGCCAACACTGTAGAGACCAAAGAGAACCTATGGAGGGGCAGATGGCAGCCTTTGGCCACCATTTTCTCACATGGAACGTGAGATGTCAGGGAAAGCACATCTCACATTCCACGGCCATCGGGTCACCTTCCTCCCTCAGCCCCACAAATTCACACGTTGGCACTATCTGGGCAACTAAAATCAAGGAAATTATTCTCATGGAGGACTTGAATATAAAAATACAGTATCCTTAAACTAGCCTTGCCTCTGATCACAGTACGCTGAAGTACTCTCCAGCTCTCGCCCACGCCAGGCCCCAAAGCACTGAATAACTGTCATCCCAACTTGAGTTTTCACTACCGTGACCACTGTGATGAGGGGCCAGCAAAGAGCAGGCTTGTGCCTTCAGAGAAGGCAGCCAGAGGCCCCTGCAGCTGAAGAGAGCCCCCTTTGCCTCCCCGTGCCAAAGCCCTTTGCCAGCCCTTCCCCACTCCTTCCCGCCCCACCCTGCCTCGTGAGTCTTCATCCAGGGTGAAATTTCCATTGTTTCATCTCCGACACAGCAACATCCCTGCTTCAGAACTGGTAGGTATTTTAGAATGTCCCCTAACCCCACAATGGAGTTTTTCCACAGAGAAAACCTTAGTGTCTTTGTCCGAGGGCAAAAACGAAGTGGGAATAAATGTGTCATGGAAAAAATTAGAAGCTGCTTCTTCCACTTGGGTGGACTGACTTTCAGCCCTGTCTCACACCAGAGTCCTGATGGTGTTGGGTTAATCACTACCCTTCTCACATATACGATAAAGTAGGTGTCTTGCAGATACATTATGTCATTTGACCCTCCTAAGACCCCAGGGCACAACAGGACTATCTGGGATCACTTCAAGGCCAAGCCACAATAGTCTTAAGTCTGTGAGTCAGCCTTATCACTGTCCAAAAGGAGGAGGGGAAGCGCTTCCCACTGGCTCATACCTTAGTCTTCCGGACACGAAACCTGAAAAGACCTAGGGATCCACCACGTTCCCATCCTTTCAGCCCAACTCTCAGGCTCTCTGCATAGACACAAAGAGGGCACTCATTCACACTGTCACATGCAAAGTCCATCGTCCCCAAAGGTATCCCTTTAGGGTGCTGCCGTGCCCCCACTCCCTAAGTTCTCACCATCTAAGTGGCTAATTATAGGAGTTTCTGAGCTACTGTAATGTTCTGAATAGAAGTTTTGACTCCTTGGGAAAATAATTACTTTGCTAATATGCAACGCTTGTTATCCATAAAAACGCAAACTGATGCCAGAAAATTTTAAAGCAGCTCAGATTTACAGTTTTTCATGATCAAATCAAAAGATACTGTCAATTCAAAGTTGGAAACACCTGGTAATATAGTTAAGTCACGTTTAAATACGAATGCAATTTAAACAACCCTGTCAATGCCTGAGACCTCTGTCACCGTGAGGGACTAAAGTCTGTCCAACAATGAACATGGTCCTTCAGGCCCTTTGCCCTGTCGTTGACACAGGGTGAGGGTAAAGCCACTCACGGGAAGTGTAGTCATGGAGCTAAACCATTATGGCCTGCCACCTACTTCATGAACAGCTTTTTGATAAATGAGACTCGTATTATTGGTCTGAAAACACAGTGCTGGGGGAGGACTTTCCTCCTCTGCAGGAAAAGAAGTCCATTTTGCAATGGGGAGCACCAATGCCAGATCAGTGGCTGGGCTCCGTGAACAAGAAGAAAGCTGAGGCCCGCAAAGAAGATACGGATTTTGAAAGAAGGCGGAGACTGTGAAGTCAATGCTCCAATTGTAGTCTTCATTTAAAAAAAAAAAAAAAAGCTATTTCATATTGGGCGCCATTCACAGAATTTTTAACTGCCAGCTTCCAACGAAAGAATCCCTTTTATTCATGTTATGAAAATGTTAAGAATTTAATTCTTGAGTCCAGTTAACCATTACATTTATTTACTGGGGCAATTCCCTAAATTTTTAATTCAGAAGATTCACTAGAGTAGAAAGTAGCAAGTCCTGAAAAAGGCAAGAGGGTGGTCATGAAATAACAACATTTTCTTTAAAAAAAAATGATAATAATAATAAAAGTTGCTCATCTATTTTCTTCTGCATTCTCTCCACATCTCTGACTAGAGAGGAAAACCAGGACTCTAGAGAAGAAAATGAGCTTAAGGAGAGAGAACAGTCCCTGTTCTGGTGACTAGTCCTATTTCCCCTCATCTTGGCATCCACCTTGTGTTTGCTAGAGGGACATGACTGAGGCCACGCTGTTATCATGTATTTTTGCCTCCAAAAGTTCCAGATTAAACACGTGCTTCTGTGCTGATTTCTCACTTTTAAGTTAAGGTCCAAAGGGATAAATATTACTATGACTTTATGTGGGGCTCAGTGAGGCTACCCTCTTCTTCCGGAGAGAAATTTCCATCTGCCTGAACAGTTTTGGGTGATCATTCAGAGAGCAGGTCAGTCAGCGTACAACCTGCAACCCTCATCACAAAAGACTCATGGAGAAAGAGTGACAAGGCAGATACCTAATCGTTTCACCTGGACTCAAAGCCCTCTGCACAAGTCACCTGCCCACCGGCTGGAGTGCCAGCTACGTGATCAGAACCAGCAGGGAAGGACGGAGGAAGAGAGCTTCCCACTTAATTTCTCTGGGCCCTGACCTCTGCCCATGACTATACAGCCTGAGAACCGACTTGGCCTCTATTATGTGAAAAGAAAGTGGCCCCTTCAAGGTATAATTGTTTTAACTTGATATTTACGTAAGGAGAAAACTCCTCCAGTTGTTAAGCACCTGCCCCTCACCCTGATGGAGCCCTCTTCCCAACTTTGGGCACACGTGGCCAAGATAAAGGGGGGAAAGTAGAGCTTTTGGGGCCAGCAGGGCCAGAGCTGGAATTACCCCTCAGGGATCTACAGTGTAGTGGAATTACAAACTGCCCCTCCCCCCAAAATAAACAGCATGCATCTCTTTGCAGATTACAAACCCTTGCTTTGCTTTGTACGCCTTTTTATCCTAGACTCTGCTAATTGGAAATCAATGACTGTGACTTGACCAAGCCCTGTGAAGATAGCAAAGCCCCTTCTTCCAAAGTATCCCAACTGTTTGGGGAACCTCTGTGATCACTGGTAGAAAGCTTTAGAATAGATTTAGATTTTTAGGAAAGAGCTCAATACCCCCAAAATGTTCCACAACTTCAATAACTGAAAATGCTCTGGGTGTAAAATAACCCAGGAATGTGGATTATGTATGTTTAAAAATAATGTCATTAATCAATATTTTCCTACAACGCGACCTAGAATTCCTATTTTTGTAATGAATGGTTGGATGATGGCCAACCATTTAAAACATATGCTCTCTGGAATAACCAGATACTAGTGTAGTTTCCAAAGTGTTTCGTGTCTCAAAATCTATATACTTAGAGGAAGAACTCAGGATAAGAAAAAAATCGCTAGGTCCCAAAGGGTTCATGACTATCATCAAATGCAACTGTCGAGTGGCCTACAGTCATCTTTTTCGAATGAGGGGCCTGGGGAATAAGAAAACAACGGTTATCACAAACCCTCCGTCGCCCTTAGTCCATGATAAGGTTTTTTAAAAACTCCACTTTTAAAAATTAAGCCATCTTTCAAACTGTTTTCTATACCAAATCTAAAATATCAAAATGAAATTAGGAAATATTTCAGATGGGGTATTTAGTGGAAATGCTGTCAGTAGAAAGCATTGCTTTTCAGTGCCTGCTAAACAAGTAAAGACAGACTGAAGAGAAAAAAGCAGTCCCTTCTGTGTGATGCCAGTGGTAAAATGACAGGCGTTAACTAGTAACTGGGCACTAATTCAAAGCAATGTGGCGATGCTATCCAATTTTTAGAGATCTTTTGAAATACAATCTTACCACCATGTGGAGGTAAGTACTTGCTTACAAAAATCTTTAATATCAGTGAATGAATGTATGAAGTTACAAACTATGCATTTTCAAAGAGTAACATGTATTTTGTATCAAATCCAAGTAAATTTTTTTCATAAATGTATCACAACCACAAATTATGAAAATAAACTTGAATGCATAACATTATGGGAATGTGGGACCCCATCGATATTCTTCTAGCTGATATTTTTAAAGACAGTGCATTGAAACTTCAGGCTCTAAACAAATGCAGCCATTAAGGTAAATAAATGGGAAATGGTTTATATGTTACTTCGTAAGCAGAAATGAGAAATGCTGGCTGTTACAAATGTGCCCAGTTTTCTAAAGGTGGATATTCTGGTAACACTGGATTAGCAGGCAAACGAACTGCATAAGGTTAATGAGCATCGCATTGGATAAACATAGCATAGGATGTGTCTGTTGTGTTTAGTTCTCAACCTAAGGACAGAAACTATTCTCCAAAGGGTTTGGGTTATATCGTTTCAAAGAACAAAATATGAAAATGCTGTCCAGCAAAGCAAATCACTGAGCTTTTTTCAAAAGCACACAGAGATAATTACTGTACATGTCTGGACCGTCCATATAGAATAGACACACATTGCTTTGGCACTCTTGTTGACTTTGTATTTCCGTGAAACCTTTTCCCCTAATCATTTATCCTTGCTCCTCAATCAGTAACCTACTACGTTGCTCAACATGAAAACATATTCTCTCCTCCTTCTGACAAAGTTGAAATAAAGAACTCCATTCCTCTGCCATTCCTGCTCTCTTCTATGTCCGTTGAGAAAGTTTCTCAACCGTTTGTAGAAATGTGGAAAATGTGGAAGATATGGAAAAACGCACTTCTAAGCCTGGTACTTATGGTTATGCTGGATATGTTTGCTACCTATTTAGAAGCTATTGGGGTTGGGGATGTGTCTTTTTGTATGATTTTTAGCCAAATTCAGATGTTCTGATACTCCATTTCTGAATACCTATCTGACTGTAAATATAGCCTATGGAGGTTCAGGCTAATAAACCTTTTATGTGACTGTCCCTCAGCCATGCTCCTTGCCGGCTATTGGCACATTGTACATAGATTTGTTGAATGTTTCAATGATGTTGTTTTTCTAAATGCTGTTCTCTAAAACAACTTTTTGAATGTTTTTTGCTTTCCATTGTTTGGGACTTTGTGTGTTGGTTTAAAAAAAAAAAATGTTTCCTAAATATTTAACACCAGGAAAAAGAGTTAAAATAAACTGGTGCTAATTGAAATAGAAGAAAAATTTCAGATTTGAAGACTTAACAGTATAAGATGTTCACACCAGTTAAACTATCTAAACTGCACTTTCCCAAGGGGACAGCTGTCATCTACCTGCAATGGGCATCACGAGGACCACTGAATGTTTACAGTCTCTGCGGCCCATTTAAGTGTAAAATATAAAAATGGCGCTGTCCCCCCAGAGTTGAGGATTTGTCGCAGTGGTCCTATGGAAGCATTGAAGTAGAAGTAAAGGCTTATAGTAAGAATCAATTTAGTAATAGTCTTCTGGTCTTTGGACTTTAATGTTCTGTAATGCTTAGCTGTGACAATGAACATGGTGTTGCCAATGTAGTCTGAAATCATCGTTGACCTGTACTTACTGCGTGTATGGTTCTACCTTGGGCTGCACTGGCACATGGCACGCCAGAACACTGGACTCTCAATAAGACCATTCTGACTTCTACAGTGTCCACACACATGAATTTAAATGCACTTGTAACTGGTTAATTACCATGGAGTCTAACTTCCACTTAATAAAAGTTTTTGTGTACCTGCTTCTATATGTGGGCTGTTTATTTAAGTAAAAAATAACTAACTAAATACCCAGGAAAGGCTCACCAAGGGTTGGAGGTTTTACCTATCGTTGTAAAAACAACTGAAAACCAAAGGGATGTCTTCCCCGTATCCACGTTCACCATCAAGGCTATCTTTAGAGACGTGAGAGGCACATCTCCCTTCTACAGTTCATCCCCTATAACGACAATTCAAACCCATTCCCTTGGCCGTGACTGTCAATAAGATAAGTTAGCTGCTCACCCTGTGTTGCTAGTTGAAAGGCGATGTCTCTTCTACCCCCAAGCCAGCCTTGGAGACCCTACCCCAGGCCAATGCTGGATCCACTAGAACGTGATGTACTCAACCTACAAGAACCAAGCATGTATGTGTGCGCGGCAAGGTAGGAGCCTTTGGAGTTCGGCTGACTTGAGCACAAGTCCAAGTTTGGCCTCTTGCAAGTTAAATGCCTGGACGAGTGATTTAACCCTTCTAAGTGCCATCCTTACCATGGGACATTATAATGAAAATGAAGAGAACTAATTAGCGTGGCTTGGACAATATCTTTATCTACTCCTAGTCCAATCAGCCCTAGCTGGGGTGGGCAGGATTATGACCCCTGTCCTATCACCTGGTCCAGAGAAGTTCCCACAACATAGGGCTATTGTGAGAATGACCTAAAGTAACAGGTCACGATGCATAGAGAAGTAGTCCACAAATGGAAGCCAAAATCCTCAGACACCGGAACCGTCAGAGATCCAGGGGTGCTTCCAAACATGAAAATTTCTTTTCAGTTTCTTAAAAACATTCTTTCTGAAATAAGAATGTCCTGCCTTCGTGAATAGCTTACACAGCACATCCGAATGTTTTCTTGGTTACTCCTGATCGCCATTATTTCATCGATTAATAGAATGAGCAGTGGAGACAGAGTTTTATAGTTCAGCCTCTTCAGAACTGAAGGGCTGTGCGGTTGGGCGCCCACTGCTTTCTTCCACACCTCCCGCAGCCCCAGCTCAGCTCCGGGTCCCTGAACCTCTGTGATTTCCTCGTATTCGGCACAGGGGACACTGAGCCCCTCGCCCAGTCCTGAGGAGCGGCGGAACAGGAAATAAGACCAGCCTCACAGATTCCCACTGTGTGCTGGGCAGTGTGCTGGATGCTGTCACGTGGTCATCTCACTGTGTTCCCACAACAGCTCTATGTGTGCGGACTGTCGCCCTCATTTTATCCAGAAGGAAACATCTTCCAAGGCAGTTAAGTAACTGACCACTCAGCCCAGGTGGACAGCAGCACCCCTGCCTCTGACCCTGCCCAGTGTGTGTTCTGTGTTTTTAGGGACTACTAGCATAGGAGCCTGTCGTGACTTATCTAAAGCAGAGCTCATCTCTCTCGGCCTATTGCCTTTCCTCTGCCCTTGAGCCAGGTGTGAGCTGCCCTTCACCTCATTACTGCTTCCCATCGCCTCCCTGTCGACCACTTGCTTGCTGCTGTTTGTTCTCATCTCCTCTGGCCTCCAGTTCCTCCCCAGAATCCTAAGCCACTGCAGAAATGAGTTCTCCCTGTGCTTCCCCGCAGCACATCTGCCAGGCGCACGTCCACATGGACACCAGCCCTCGGGCCTCCCGGAGATGCTTTCCTCACGGTTATAACCTTCGGTGCCCATGTTTTTGCCATGAAAGAGGATGGACGTAGCAACCTCCGTGAGTGGTGCTCAAACTATACATTCCTTTTATTTTTTTAAATGTTTATTTATTCTTGAGAGAGAGAGAGAGAGTGTGTGTGTGAGCAGGGAAGGGGCAGAGACAGGGAGACACAGAATCCGAAGCAGGCTCCAGGCTCTGAGCTGTCAGCACGCAGCCCGACGCAGGGCTCCAACTCACAGACCATGAGATCATGACCTGAGCTGAAGTCGGACGCTTAACCGACTGAGCCACCCAGGGGCCCCTCAAACCATACGTGCTTGATTCTCCCAGGGTCTCCCTCCAAGGTTCCCGGAAGCTCTCCTCTGAGAGCCACTTGCAGAGGCTGTGTAGCCTCAGGGGCGGGAAGCAGGAGAAAATGCTGAGAATTTCTTTTTTTTTTTTTTTTTTTAAATAGTTTATTGTCAAGTTAGTTTCCATATAACACCCAGTGCTCATCCCCACAAGTGCCCCCCTCCATGCCCATCTCCCCCACACACACGCCCATCAGTCCTCAGTTTGTTCTCAGCAGAAAATACTGAGAATTTCTATTTGCAAACAAGTTTTTACCAAGCGCTTCTTATCTAAAGGGACGCTGCAGCAAAAGCTCATGAAGTAATGAATTATCTTAATGTAAAGAATGAAAGCTACCTTTCCCTCAAAAAATATCCTCCACAACCTTCCATTTCTTGAGCTTGCTGACTATATCCGACTTATTGTATAGTGTGCTACGAGGCATATACTACGTGAGCAATAACTTTTTTAATGAATTAATGAACAAACTGATCAGAGCATTTCTTCAGGCTTTGGCTATGCTCTCTGGTTTCAATCTGCCATCGCCCAAACAAAGCAAAGGGACAGGAAGTGAGGGAACATTCTGAAGATAGCCATGAAGATTTCTTTGGCCTAAGCAGCCTTTTTTTTTTTTAAGTTTCTTTAGAATATGTACATTCTCAGAGCACTTGGGTGGTTCAATCAGTTAAGCATATGACAGTGGCTCAGGTCATGATCTCATGGTTCATGGGTTCAAGCCTCACATCAGGCTCTGGGCTGACAGCTCAGATCCTGGACCCTGCTCGTGTTCTGTGTCTCCCTCTCTCTCTGCCACTCCCCACTCTCCCTCTCTCTCTCTCTCAAAAATAAACATTTAAAAAAATTTATAGAATATATACATTCTCAAAATTGCCAATGCCCAATGACTATATTGATTACCTAATCATTACTCAACACAAGACAAAGTGGATAGAAACATCCACTGCTTGTAATGTACAAATTCCTTGCACACAGCCAAGAATTATAAGAATCTAAGTAAAGCAAAACAAAACCAAAAGAATGCCTCTAATTGAAATAAATTGCAAAATAGGTCTGTGCTATTAAAAGCACACAGAGTAAATGGCATGAGACCACTAGGATTTGAGTCATTAATAGGACAGAGGGTGTAGACTGGCACGAAGACAGAACAGACACTATTTTATGATGGGGAGCTGGGTATTACAGTGATTATTTGTTTATATCTAAGTAATACATGTACATAGTAAAAAAAAAAAAAAAAATGAAGGCATTAAGAAGTTCCCTGTTGCTCTGTCCCTTTCTACCCCTTGGGCATATATCTAGAAGCTGCTATTTCTAACACACTTTATTGTTTCTTCTAATAATATTTGACTCCATTGTTTCTGATATGCAAGTGTTGCCTGGCAAACAGGAAGACAAGCACAGGCAGAAGTATCCACAGTATCAAGAGCAGGAGAGACATCCCCAGCCCGAGGCTGCAGAGAGACGCACAGGGACTGGCCCAGGGCCAGCGGAGGTGAGGCTCTCAGTCCCAAGGAGGCCATCGCACACACTCAAGACCCAATGTTCTGAGCAAGACATGCATGTTGCTGGCATCAAAACGCTGGCCCACCAGCTGATCCAGGACTCTCTCACGAGTTGGCTATCAGCCACTTCCCCCAAAGCACGGTAAGCCCTGGGCAACCTGAAACTAATCAAGCCCCCTCACCTCTACGTTAAATCTGTAAACTAGCCTCCACTCCGGACCGGAGCCTTCCGCTGGCCAGTGGGTCTTTCGCCATCTCTTTTAATATTACTTTCACCAGCATGCCTGGTTTTCAGTACATTCCTTGTTTAGCTGACTTGGTTGAAGTGCCCGAGTCACCCCAAGAAAACATCCTCAGGTCAGCTTTTGGAAAATGCCTCAATGCAAACGTTCCTCCTTATTCACCTTGAGGCTACACCAGACAAGCTGGGAACCTGTACATGGTTGGTAGCAAGTAATAATCCCACTCAAACTGGGAAGCAAACACAAGTGGGGAATTTATTGAAAGGACACAGGGAGTCTTGTATGATCTGAGGATAATGGGCAAGGCCTTGTGGAGCCTAGAAGCAAGGTGGAGAAAGCCACTGGGAAGCACAAAAACCACACTTCCTTCCTTGCCAGTCCCATGCCCTCACTGCAGTGGTGGAAAATGGCCACCAGAGGCTCACACTGAATTCACAGCCCATGTGGTCAAGAGGGGTCTAGAATCCTGGAGCACCAATTTCAAACTCAGGAATCACTGGCCCAGCTTGGTTGAGATATTCTCCCCGGCTCCGACCAACAGGGCATGGAGGGAAGGGTGGTGTCAGGGATCATGTCAGAGGCTCCCAATTAAAAGGTGTGAAATTGGGAAGGAAATGATGGGTGGAGGAAATAAGTAACATTCCTACTACGGTATACAAAAGTCAGTTTTTCTAGCTAATAAACATAATTGCAGAATTCACAGCCAAGAGGGTATGAAAGATCATCCTACTTAACTCTTTCACTTCATAAATGGGATTCATGACCCAGGAATGTCATTTTGCATTTATTGTTATCGTTTGATGCTAGTTTGTTTTCATAAGATTTTCTGGTTTGTTTGTTTTCTAAAAAACAAAATTGTACTTTCTCTTAAACATAACCATGCAGCACATTCAGGGTAGGGCCACTGGAGCATTCATATCCTAGCTGAATTCAAATCCGAGCTCCATAATATACTGGCTGTGTGACCTTGAGGAGGTTAACTAACCTCTCTGTGCCTCAATTTCCTGCTTCATAAAATGTGAATAATTATATGGCCTGCCTCCCCCTTGTGAGTATTGTGCATTCTAACTGAGTTAATATGTGTAAACTGTGCAGTATGGTGCCTGACACATGTTGAGGGCCATAAAAGTACTGTGTGAGTCATGGACACTAACATCATGTAAACAGCTTGAGACAGATGCATTAGCCAACAAACTCATATCAGACCACTAGAGTAGGAGCCATTAGTTAAGTTGCAAGAAAGCTAAAAGTAGATACTTATTTCTAACAA